ATTAAAAAAAAAAAAAAAAAAAAAAAAAAAAAAAAAAAAGGAAGAAGAAGAAGAAAGAAGAAATGCGAAACGATTAGAGAGATGATTGCGAAAAAAGGAGCAAGCGTGGAAGTGAGAAAGAATTAAGCAATTGGTGTGTAAGTTCAGCGGAAGCGAGATTCAGAGGAACCTTTCCTTCCGATGTTCTTTTTTCTTTTCGTTTTCCTCTTTCCGTACTCTCTCTCCGAGGTATGCAGGTGCAACATAGAGTCATACACCCTATCTATCTTAATAAATTTATGATAATTTTAAACATAAATTTACTTAGGAGTTTGAATTATAAGCATATTTTATTTTTTTATATAATTTAAGATAATTTTATATATTTAGAAATATACTTTTAAAATAATATTTAGAGAGAAAATGATAATTTGCTGGTAGAAAAAAAAATAGATTAAGCCAAATTTTGAATCTAAAATTGAATCATTTATGTTCAAGTTTAATCTTTAACAAAACTAATTATTGGTTAAATTTTACTTATCTCTCAATTAAATTAGATTAAATCTAAAATGAAACTTTAAAATACTAATAAGAAGAAATAAAATAACAGATTTTGAATATGTAAATTAAATTTGTTATATAAAATTAAAATTTTAAAGTTTTATTTATTATTTATTATGGATTTTTTATATGCTTATCTTTTAAAAAAAAACTTAATTTTAAATAAATGAATAAAGTTATTTTTAAATATATTTATGAGACTTTTAATTTGCAAGATGAAAAAATAATTTACCTCATTGTTATTAAAATTTAGATTTTGAAGGAAAAATATAAAACTTATGTAAGAATTCAAAACTAATATAATAAAAAGAATATTAAATACAATTTTATATATAAAAGACAATAAAATTATATGTCTATACTTTTCTTTATTCATGAAAATTATATCTATGAAATTCAAATTTAAGAATTTATACATTCAACTTTAATCTTTCTATCACAAGGCCACCATGTACACCACTTATACAAGTAGTGGATTGAATTTGTGTTTATTAACTAAGGTGCTATAGGAGCAAAGGTCCAAGAAAAATATTAATTGGATATTACTTGTTATGGATGAGGATCTTTTAAACAACCCATGTTACAAGTGAATAAGAAAAATATCACATACATCTATGCACAATTATATACACTATCTCCCTTCTTTTTTATGTTCCTTTATTTAAGTCTTTTTCATGAAAATTTGTATCCCTGTCATACTAATTTGATACGTAGAATATTTTTACTTTTTTTTTTAGGAATTTTGAATTGGGAATTTTAACTTCCTATATTTAATAGTTATTTAAAAAAAATCTCATTATTTCTTGATCTTATCAATTTTAATTATATTATTAAAGTGTATTTTATTTTTATATTTTAGTAAAATTTATTAACTTTTTATTTTTTATTTTATTTTTATTTAAATGAAATGAAATCATATATTTTATTTAAAATTTATATCAATGACAAGAAAACACACGCATATATATTTTAGTAATCATTATGCATAACTCAAAAATTTGATTTATTTTGAAAAAAAATATAAACCGATCCACTTTATAAAACCGATTCAGTTATCCGATATATTTTTACAAAGTGGATTGGTTCGGTTTGATTTTTAAAAAAAATTATTCATATATAAGTAAAAAAAAATGGATAACTGCACCGCATCGAACTGATTTAATTTCAAAAAAACTGATCCATATTTAAAAAAAAAAAACAAAAAAAAAAACTGATCTACTTTATAAAATATGGATCAGTTAACGGATCCACTTTCATAAAACGACTTAGTTCGGTTCGATTTAGATTGGATTTTTCAAAAAATCGATCCATGAATACCCCTAACTATGCATGATTAGGTTTATAAGTTAAATTTCAAATACTTGATTTTTAAGCCAGGTAACACATTCATCAATTTAGTTATTTGGTATAACATGATAATTCAAAAACACATATAAGATATTTATTATATAAAATTAAAATTTATAATAAATTATTTATATAAATAAATATTATATTTGAATATAAAAATAATACTTAAAATTTGTATAAATAGATATTTTCAAACATATAAGTTATATTTGAAATTTACGATAAATAATTTATATTATAGCATAAAATTATTTTATTTATAGATAAATTTTTTTAAAATATTAAAATTTAATTTACAAATAATTATAATAAATAAAAACCATATTAGATAAAAAGTCAAAAAATATCTAAAAATCCTTTATTTGAAAAAAAAAATCTAAAAACACTCTCATGTAAAATAGAGATTCGTGTTTAATATAATTCATAAATAATTAAAATAAATAAAAATTGAATTAAATAGGAAAATAAGAAATTTCTAAAAACCTTTTCATCAAAGAAAATTTTCTAAAAATGCTCTTGTACAATATAGAGATTCATGTTTAATATATAAGAGTTGATTAAAATAAATAACTTAGTTTATATTGAGTATTTTAGGTTAATCAAGTCAATCCAACCTAATAAACACCTTTTTACCATTACTCTAAAGGACATTTGGTACACAACAAATTCTTTTATACTCCCTCCATTTTTTTTTCATAGTCGTTTAAGGTTTTTGCACGGGACTTAAGAAAATAATTGATATTTTAGTTTTAAAAAATATTTATTACTTACTTTCCTATTATACCATTTTTTTTTATTTTTTATTTTTTTGCATTCAAGTCTTGAGACTATTGATTTGTGTACACTTATTATTGTTATCCACCTTATGAGAAGTCCATGAATTAATGCATTGATTATTAGAATACACATATGAACTGTAACCTACTCCATTTAATCACATTTGTCCATGAATTAATACATTAATTATTAGAATACACATGTGAATAGTAACCTACTTCATTTAATCACACCTTTAAGTAAATTGTGTCTTTTGAGTATCTTAATTCCTCAATGAATATTGTGGAAAGAAAAAAAATCATGGATGAATAATATTGCCTCTATCAAGATTGATCTAAAATTTGTTTACCCCCAAAAGATTACTATTTCCCTCCAAAAGATTTGTAATAACTTCAATATATATATCTCATTTTAAGCTCAAGAAAATTACATATCACTAACATGGATTCAAATAAAATTTCATATTTGAATATTGAATTCACGCAATTAGAAATGGATATTGAAGATGGTCAACAAAATTGTGCAAGAGAAATTCTCCCTTTTTCTATTTTTTTATATATTTTATTGGAAACATATTGCTCTCATAAATGCAACATTAACTTTACATAGGTGGTTGGAAAAAAAATAGGTAGACATTAGAAATAAATAGACACATTGTTCAATAAACATATATTGATTATCAACGATAAAAATGAAAAAAAAATAATAAGTCATTAATTTTAGTAAAATGATAATAAAAAAAACAACAAAAAAATGACAAAATGACTATAAAAAAATGGAGGGAGTATTTTAGAATCATGATTCATGCGAATCATAAATACTCGGAATCATGATTTCTTAAAATCATGAAAATTTGTTTGGTTGGTCATATTTATAAATATTACTTGAAAATCAAAGAATTCTAAAACATTAATTAAAACTTTATTTTTACCTTAAAAAAATTATTTCTCACCTTCTCCCATGAGAATAATTTCGTATAAAACCTATGCAAAATTCATTCCCAAAATGATGTTTTTTTAAAAGGAGTGTTAATAATATATTCTCTAACATGCTCACTCTCATTAATTAGAATTTATTGAAAACTACAAAATTAGAAGAAAGGATCATTGAATAGAGTGTAAGACCCATCAAAATTTATGTTTTTCAATAAATTGTAATAAATTAGAGAGTGTTTTAGACAATATATTACTAACATTCTTCAATTTTTTAAATAACAAACCAAACATGAGAAATTAGCATTCTAAACATCAAATTATTGAGAAAATAACTTTTTATGTACTAAATACTTCCTTAATATATTGAATTTACCTTGTGATACAATGAGCCATAATGGCTCATTATATTTATATGGCTTGAGTTTAACAACAAATCAAACTTCAATAAAAAGAAAAGAAAAAAAAAATGGATCGGTTCAACTACTTTTAATCTTTACCAAGAGCATTTTCAATGGTAGGATTTATTTTAAGTTCTTAGTTTTTTTTTTGCAAGCCCCTCAATGACATGTAGGATTTAAATTTTTTTGCATATTTTTGTTTCAATGGAAAAATCTAATTTGGATTCTTAATTCACCTTTTCTGGATCCTGAGTGTAATGACCTAGCTGGTCACTACACACTGCACATCACACTCGAACACCGGATAGAAAGGAACCAATATATATACATATAGTGTCTAGAATATACATATATACAAGATCCAAGTCTGGCTAGAATTCAAAGTGTATAAAATACATCAAACGCTACTATATCAAGTAGCTAAATCAACAGAACATCCAAAAAGGGTCAGCTTTGTCTGTCAGCTGTAGACTTACCACCAGCCACCAGCCTATCCCTGCTCTGCTCCCATACAACGTATGATCATCGCAGTCCAAACACCATGGAAACAACAAAGGGTAAGCTAGTGAAAAGAATCAACATATAAAACATATTTAAGTAATATGAACAGTTACAGCTATCAGCACATCAATCATCTTAACAACATCAACTTAATATATATAACAGCACACATCTCACATCATTCAGCAATAACAGCAGTAAACAGTAGTAAAACATACAATGTGTCGTCACGCATATCAGCTCGGAGATCTCCTACAACAGCTCAGCCTTACAGCCTACAACAGTTTAACCTTACGGCCTACAACAGCTCAGTCTTACGGCCTACAACAGCTCAGCCTTACGGCCTACAACAGCTCAGCCTTTCGGCCTACAACAGCTCAGCCTTACGGCCTACAACAGCTCAGCCTTACGGTCTACAACAGCTCAGTCTTTTGGCCTACAACAGTTTATATCAGCATACAACACATCACAGCTTACAGCATACAGCAATAACAGCTTACAACACGGCTAAACAACTTACAACACAACACAACTCATCAATATACATCTAATACAGCTCAACATTATGATTTAACGTGAACACCAAATCAGCACGACAATACTTACATCTCAGCACAACATATATCAACATAAATCAGCATTTTCCACCATATAACAACATATAACAACATATAAGTAACCATCATACCTGCGCCCGGTGCCCTCATGGTCGCGCCCGGCGTGGCACAACCAGAGAGTACCAAGGACCATCGCGCCCGGCA